TGCAGCCCCATGTGTTTTGAATAAATGATACATTACAGGGAAGGGATGTTTGCACTTCTGCATAACAGAATATAATTGATTTTGTGCTTGGCTAATTAGGAAAAGGTTCTCTTTGATGTATTCAAGAGTCCTGAATTAAAAATTTAAACTTTGCTAACTGTTAGAAAAATTGATTCAGAAACAGCGTTAATGGATGAAAAACAGCATGCTGTTGCAAATATGGTCTCAAATCTAATACTGTGCTAATGCAGAGTAGTCATACGTCCAGGATACTTGGGTATCTTAATATCCTTGGCCATTTTAATTCTGAAATCAACACAGTAATACAGACGGCTTGGAAAAAGGTGCACATTTTGGAACAAAAAAATATTAAGAATTTATCTTTCAAAGTTTTTCACAGGTAGATGTAATTATATGTGAAGGCAAATGTGTTATGGGGAGGGAATGCAAAAATCTTAGAAGACATGCAAGATTCATGGAGAATGCAAGAAAACAAATTCTGCACTGCTATGAATTAGTCTTTTTTTTTTTTTTAAAGTATTCAGATTCACACCCTATGCAACATTTCAAATATTTGTGACTAGAAATACTTCCTAAATAAATAGTTGCAGCTAAGATCATAACTTTATTAGTTCAGATTCTTTTGTTTATTTCTTAGTTTTGGAAGGTTCTGGGCAGCACTTTAAAATCCTTAATTTGTCATTTGAAAAATCAAGCTCCAGGTTGTTGGTCTGTTCTAATAGACATGTTTTGTGTTCAGCCTTTTCATCACTCTTGTAGACAGGATTACTCAAATAATCCAGCCATCTAGATACTTTACCTCCAACCCTCTGTGTTGCTTGCTGTTCTTGGATGCTAAAAGCATAATAAGGATTACAGGGGTAGCAGATGGGCTGAACTGATTTATGGCAATATAGCCTTGCTAGTGTTTGCAGTCTCATTGTGAGTATTGCAATAGTTGATGCCTATCTTCAACTCCTGCCTTTCAGAGCTGTGCAAAAACTTGCCTGGTTTATGGCTTTCTTTGTGGAAATTGTATGGCAGCACTCCTGCCTGTCCTTATTTTGGTAAAGACAGACCATTTCTGGCTTTTCTAGCTGTGCAAAGAGACCGCTGGTGTAGTGCAGCTATACAACTAATGTTAAATAAATAAACGAAGAGGACAACTTGTGTTTACTTTTTACATCGCTGACCTTATAATCGGGAATGTTTTGCACAGGATAGAGCTAACTTTGGCTGACGCAGGCTAATTCCCGGGGTGCTCAATGGAGAATGAGAGCTTCATTCAGCTGCTTCAAATCATCTTGCGGCAGAGACCCCCCACAAGCAGGTGGGGGCTGCGTTTTAGTAACCTGAGGACAAGCTGGGGTGGGAGATGTGTGTGTATGAGTGGTGAACGGCCCCCACAAAATGCCTTAGCTGAGTGCTATCTTCACTTTGTGTTTGCAGTTTCCAGTAGTTTAGTAAATCTGTAGCAGGATTATTTACAAAATGATGTTATCAAATACATAAATATTATGATTGTAGAACAGAAAGAGGGAAAGAAATTTTCAAAGCTGTGCACCTTGGTCCTGTGTGTCTCTTATGTTCTGTATTTCATAACAGAAGAGAAATCCTCAAATTTGGGTGTCGCTCTAAAAGATGCTTTATACACAGCTCTTCTCCCAACCTCTCATCTGCGTATCTGCTTTTCCCACTGACCCATGAACATACCCTTCCTTCTTTGCCTTGATTAGATGATAAAATATTCTATTTCTGCTGTGGGAGGATAAAGCGTGCAACCTGAAACACCCTGAAATCTGGAAATTCATAACAGACAGCTGGATTTTGAAGCTGTGGCCATTCCCAAACCTATTGGTGCATGGGAGCGACCCTCCTCACTAATTCTGTCCCTCTGCAAGTGGCTTGGAGGCTGCAGCTTCTCCTTATGGCATTCATTTTTCTGCAGGTAAGGCTCCCTGCAGCCCCCCAGCCCTCCCCACTGCTGGCTTGCAATCCTGGGCTGAAGCTGGCAGGTGTAGGGAGCAGGGTGCTGCCTCTCTCTGCAGCAGGGCCCAAAAGCTGCTGGCCTGAGCTGGCCGGAGGCAGCCCACCATGCAGCTGTGCAGGGCACTCCTGCCTTTGCCTTCCCTATGCCCAGCTGCAGAGCCCAAAAACGACCGCAGAGCTGGGCAGCAGCAAGCGCCCCGGGCATGGCCGGCCGGGGGTGCGCTGGCAGGGCGCTACTTATGTGCTGGGGGGTTTCTTAGAGACATTGCTCCAAAGTTGGTCAAAATATGAGGAGGCTGAAGGAGCTTCAGGGCTGGCGGCAGTGTCGAGATGGTTTCGCTGGAGAGAGGGAGCCCATGCCCACGTCCAGCAGGTAGCCGCCAGAGTTGGGAAGCGGCTGCAGCTGTTGGGATATGCAGGCTGCTGTGTAGGCTTGCAGCACTGTGGAATTAGATTGCTGGGAACAGGAGTCATCTGCGGCTCCTGAGCCTGAAAACATCATATGCTGGCTGCTGGCATATCTTTTTCTTTTAAGACCACCAGGCAGTTCTTATTTGCATGCTCTATAAAGCTTTTAAAAAGAGTTTTACAGCTTACTTAGCATACAAAAGGTATAACTAGCTATAAAATGAAACAATTGTCAGGACTCTGGCAACTCCCACGCAGCACATCATAAGCCAGGACGCTCCAGATGCTGGTGGCACAATAAAACCCCGGGCACAGGGTCATGCCACGTCCCTCGGTGGTGACAACAGCATGCATGCCAGTGTGGGATCCTCTGCTCGCGAGGGGCTCCTCGGTAGCTTTTATGGGTCCTCAGGATCTCACAGGCTGGGATTTCTGAGAGCCTTCATGTTGTTTTGACCGTTCTTGTGCCCTGACTCGCATCTGTAATCAAATGTACAGCAAACTGCGCTGTAAGTGCAAGTCAGAGGGTAAGTGATGGAAACCACACGGGAAAACAAAAGGCACCTCAGCTCTGAAGCGCACTGGTGTCAGCTTGTGCTGGCAGGGAGTCTCGTCATTACATAATGATGCACTCATCCAAACGGCGTTTTGTATTTTGGGAGACAGATGTGCCTTGCAGTTGCTGGTGGAAGTTAAACCTTAAATATGAAACCCATTCATTTTCTCTTAGTCATACTTTGGATTTAAGCAGATGTTTTCCTAATTTGTGGTTTTCAAATGTAGCATGCTGACAAGACATTTATCATTAACTACAACTTCATCCATGCAGTTTAGCAAATTGGCCAATTATTAACAGTGAGGGTTGCGTGGTGGTTGATGCATAGCTCCTGCTGCTTTGAAAGGCCTAAATTGAAACTCAATACATTTTTACAATATAAATTAATTGAGCTTTGGACCACATCCCTGTTATTCCAGTGCTCTCTGCTCTCATTTTCAGAATGAACAGCCATTTGTAATGCGCTGAGTAACTGTGCTGTCCACGAGCAGGGGCTCCTGGTGGTGCAAAAAGTGATGGCTAACATTTTTCTGGTAGGGGCATGAAAATGGCTGATGGTATCCCAGTGTACGCAGTACAACATACGGAGGGAGCACAGCCACGGGACAGTGTGTGTACATGTGGACCAGGCTGGCTCTGCTACAGATGATGCAGAAGGCATCTTGGAAGGGTGCGGGGGGGGCAGTAAAAGCAGGGTGGTGCATCCGCCTTGGAAGCTAGTGCTGCCTAATATTTTCCATTATAGCATTTCTCTTGCATTTAACTTTGCTAGACTTTACCCATTTTTACTTACTTTTTTCTGTTTTATGTTCGCCGAGTTTGATGGGGCGGAGGGAGGAAGGGTTGTCGGTGGTGCTGTGAACTGGTGAGATGTCCCAAAGGTGCTTCCCAAAGCCAGGAACCACCATATGCCTGAAAATACCATCTCCTATTTTCCCAGCTCTGGAATTCAAGCAGACAATTTAGTCATCATTTATTCATCCCATGTGCGAGACCTGAAGGAGAACACTCAATGCACCTCTAATTTCTAGAAAGTATAAGGACCTTGTTTTTTACCAGCTGGCACTGCGGAAATTTTGTGCTACATTCCAGCTGAACTGGGAAAACTCTTCAGGACAGTTTGTTCATAGTTGCTCCAGCTTCTGGCAAATATTAGCTTTTTTTCCTCCTCTATATTTGCATCTGCACAACAGGGAAACTACATACTTTGTTACAGAACAGGCTGCAGTGCAGATTAATTAAATGAGAACTGTAAACAGTTAAAATAAATACGTGTGGGGTATTTCATCTTGCTTTATGCAGCTAGATGTGCTAGGTGTGAAGCACCTACAGGGCTGGCTTTACGGTCCCATTTGATGTCCTTTTCTTCATATCCCCCTGCTCTGTGGGAAAAGGGAGTAATGTCAGCATCACAAAATCAGTCAGGAGCTGCAATGTCTCAGCAGGGAGGTAGGAGGTTGCATAAAATGCAGAAAAGAGAGAGAAAAAACGTAGATTTGGGGCTCATGTTGCCACTGTTCCTGGTCTCCATTAGAAGTGTGAGTCCTAGAGGTACTTAAAATGAGCTGAAGGCCTGATCCACAGGGCTGCAATGGGGGTTTTAAAGAGACATCTTTGGCACAGTTGTCTCCCTAGTAACTTTTTGATTGGAAGGGATGTGGCAGCAGATGTTGAAGGGAAGACGACAGGTTACGGCTACGTTGTCGGTCGCCGCCTTGCTTTTCTAAGCTTGCTTGGGTTTAGATAAGCTAAATCTCCAGAAGCGGCTGCGTATCCCATGCCAGCCTTTAGCCGGAGGTGAGCGCGGGCAGACGTCGGGCGAATTCGGCTAACCCAGATCCTGATCCTTTGCAGCGCTGCCAAGCTCCTGGAGAAGAATCCGTTCTCCGTCGGCGCCGCGAGCCCCCTGCTCCCCTCGCCGGCGAGCCTGCAGCTGGCGCAGCTCCAGGCGCAGCTCACGCTCCACAGGCTGAAGTTGGCTCAGACCGCCGTCACCAACAACCCGGCCGCCGCCACCGTCCTCAACCAGGTGCTCTCCAAAGTGGCCATGTCCCAGCCGCTCTTCAACCAGCTGAGGCACCCCACCGTGATGAACGCCCCGCAGGGCCACGCCGCCGGGCCGCCGCAGGGGCCCGGCATCGCCGGCGCCAGGTTCCCCTCCGGCGGCATTGCCTTTCCCGCCCAGAGCCCGGCCTTAGCCGCGCCGGGGAGCGGCCTGGGGCCTGTGCAGGCCCAGACCCCCAACGCCATCGTCGTGAACCCTTTCGGAGGCGTCATGGCTCCGACCTCCGGCCAACAGCCCGTGGTGGTGGGTCTCAACAAGGCGGGCGCCTCCACCTCCGCCGCCGCGGGGGGCTTTTACGAGTACGGCAAGCAAAACGCCGCCGCTGCCGCCCCTCAGGCCTACGCCTCGGAGGGGGACCAGCCCAGCCAGCACGGCTTCCTCGCCGGCGGGGCCCACGCAGGCTCCTCGGCGGCGGGGCCGTGCTACGAGGGTCGCTTTGGGGCTGCCAGCCAGCTGCAGCACGAGGCGGCGGCGGCGGCAGCCTTTCCCAAGGAGGCCTACGGGGCCACGGCGGCACAGCACGGGGCGGCACGGGCCTTCCCCAGCGACCCGCACGCGGGCTCCCATCCGAAAGGAGATCCCGGCCCCGTCTTGCACGGCAGCGGCGCGAGCAGCCAGTGGGAAAACATCCCTAATTTCCCCGGCCAAAACAAGCCTGACCTCGTGCCCGGCGACAGCCTGTGGCCGTCGGCGAGTCAGCAGCAGTATGAAATAAGAAACGAGCTCTACGACCCCGAGGAGCCGACACCTGACACAAAGTTCAGCGCGGCCGCCCCCCCCGCCTTCGGCCGCCTCAACCACAGCAAGCAGAGCTTCGGCAGCCCTCGCATGAGGCAGAAGGAGGAGCGGAGCGGCGGCGCGCCTGACCTGCCCGCCCGCTCCCTGCCGCCGCACCAGCTGGGCGACCTCCGCGGCGCGGCCCCCCTCCACTTCCCCCACGTCTGCGCCCTGTGCGACAAGAAGGTCTTCGATCTGAAGGTGAGTGGTTTGAAGGTGCCGCCGGGGCACGGTTCGGACCCTCGAAGAGGCTGCCCGGCCCTCGATCCGGCCACCAGCTCCTGCCACCCCATCGCCGCGGAGGTGCCCCGAGAGAACAAAGGGCCACAGTTTTGCTTAGGGCGTCGTGCATCTGTTTCACGGCGATTACTGGGGTTTCGAGGTCTGGTTTTGTTCCGCATCTCGCCGTGAAAGACGGTGAGATTACAGCGCTGGCGTGAGAAACGCGAGGTCTGGGCTGGGGTTGCAGCTCGTCTCGTGGCCCCGATCGAGGGGAGGAGGAGCTTACAGCCGATCCCCCGCTTCCCAAGCCAGTCTTGTAACCGCACGTCTGCAGTTTCATCTGCCTCTCCTTTTCTCTTTGCGTTTCTGATCCCAGAGGCTTCCTCCGAACAGCCTCGTGGAAGCAGCTTGCTTAAACGAAACAGTGCATTTTGATAAAATTATTTTAATCGTTCCTCTGTTGGGATCTCTTACTCCTTCTAGTATCTCTGAGGAAAATTTAGGGCTCAGGGTCCCCAGCAACGTTGGCCTGGAAGGAAGAAGCCACTCAGCACGTGTGGTGTCAACCACAGTCCCGCTTCTCTATTCATACTGCCGAGGGAGCTCCAAATTCAACCTCACCCTCAAGAAGCAGCTTCCCAGTTGACCAGAGAGCCTCCGTGCTGGGTCACGTTATGTAGGTCAGGTCTGGAAAAGGCCCCTTACAGGGCCCTCTGAGCCCCATGGCCATTCGTGGGCCCTGGCTGGGGTTGTTCTGGCCTCCTGGTAAGCCTTGCTCAACAAGTCCTCACGACCTTTTCCATCGCATCACAGGACTGGCACCTCACTGCAAAGGCATGTGTTTTCACGCTGACGGTGGCCTGACAAAAACATTGCGACAACATTTATACAGGAAGGAAGATGGCCAGCAAATTAAATAGTACCTGATACTTACACATGCTGGGGCTTTGGGGTATTTGGATATATATTTGCTCTTTCATGTTTCCCTTCTACTCTTCGAGGAGCTGCTTGCAAAATGGTTTGCTGTGGTTACTGCAGCTGCAGGGCTGGTCTGAAGTAGCCCCTGCCTAGGGCATGCTGGGCATTTCTTTTTTCATTAAACATTTAAAAAGGGCAGGGGAAATGTCATTACAGTGAGTTTCAGTTGATCTGTTTGTTGGTGTTTAACACACTGCCTCATTTGGATTGTAGAAGTGTAAATAGCTAAATGTACTTTAACAAATTTACTCATCTATGGAAATGAATAAGCGCTGTCCTGGCTGCTCTGTGTGCTGAGCACCTGTTGTGGTTTAACCCCAGCCAGCAACTAAGCACCACGCAGCCGCTTGCTCGCTTCCCCCCCACCCGGTGGGATGGGGGAGAGAAGAGGGGAGGGGGAGGAGAAAGTAAAACTCTTGGGTTGTCATAAGAACAGTTTAATAGAACAGAAAGGAAGAACATAATAACGATAATAACAATAATAGAATGACAATAATAATAATGAAAAAATTGGGATATACAAAACAAGTGATGTACAATGCAATTGCTCACCACTCGCCAGCTGATGCCCAGTTAGTTCCTGAACAGTGATCCCCCCCAGGCCAACTCCCCCTAGGTTATATACTGTACATGACATCACACAGTATGGAATACCCCTTTGGCCAGTTTGGGTCAGCTGCCCTGGCTGTGTCCCCTCCCAACTTCTTGTGCCCCTCCAGCCTTCTTGCTGGCTGGGCATGAGAAGCTGAAAAATATTTGACTTCGTATCAACACTTCTTAGCAACAACTGAAAACATCAGTATGTTATCAACAGTCTTCTCCTACTAAATCCCAAACATAACACTATACCAGCTACTAGAAAGAAAATTAACTCTATCCCAGCCGAAACCAGGACAGCACCTTCTTTATGGACATTGCAGGAGTTGAGGGTGCTCAGCACCTTGAAGGATGAGCTCTTGAGCTACAGTGAAGTAACTGAATTAATAGAAATATACTGGATTTAAAAACTAATACAGAGAAGCTCTCCTTTTGTAAAGCAACCTATATTTTAACTTACAAATAACGAATCAGTAATTGCACAGGGTGAAGGTGCGCTTGGCTCCAGCCACACAGTTTGATCGTCAGCATCTCAGTATTGTTTTTAGAATAAGGTAAACTGAATGGAGAAGCAATCTCTTTTAAATTTGTCTTAGGATTTTTCCTATGCTCATCATCTCTTTGTTTCAACGTAGGACTGGGATCAGCACATTAAGGGAAGTCTTCACATCCAAAAATGTATGGCTTTTTCAGATAAGTAAGTATTATTCTAGAGACACTCTTCCAACTGAATTTCTAACAGACCATCCCTTACTTCAGTGGCTTTACACCGGGAATTTACTGTCTAATAATTATGCTTTAATATTTATGGCACATATGCACGCTCCTAAAGTTCTTTTCTTTCTTTTCCAGCACTGGTGTCCGGTGTGTGTTAAGCTCAGCAGATGGAGCATTGCATTTATCACCAAATAATGCAGCAGTTTTCAATCCATCTAGTATCGAAGGTGAATGGTTGTATGTGCAATAGTTAAAACCATTTTTTTTAATTGAAAGGGAAGTCAGTCTCTGGGGAAAAGTGGACATTTTAAATGAAATCTGATACAAGTTTCCAAGGAAAGCTTTTTAGAGGTTGTGCACAGAAAGGCTAAAAGCCAATTCTGTGCTTTTCAAAGTATGAATTTATTTTTCTTTCAAACAATGGCTTGTTTTCACAGTACAACAAAACAGTGTGTATTTTGGTGTAGAGACTATGAAATTAATTACTATATAAATGGGGCATTGCTTACTGAGCACACTAATGCAATTAATGTAAGTCAAGATTTTCATGAAATGTGTGTAATCCATTATTTAGATTATCCACCAAATGTCGGCGCATCTTTTATCACTACGTCAGCAAGATCCTTTGGCCAGCCAGGTCCTACATTTTCTTCTCTTCCATCAGGGGTAAGAGTGAGTACCTACGCAAATTGATCTCCATGTTGAGATTCTTGTAGGAGCCACTTCTACTTACTGGAATTAAAACCATGAAGGCTTCCTTTTAGACAATAATCTGAATATTCAGTCTGTTATTTCAACTTCCCTGCAGCTCTTTTATGCTTTTAATTTTGGCCAAATCAGAACTTGATTGTAGTTTTTTATTCCAGTGCTAAAAGTTGTTTGCTTGTCAGATTTGGGAAGGGGCGTAAATGGTTCTGTGTGTATCTCACTGACTTTTTTTCCCCATTTTCTGAGTCTTTTTGACCCAGGAAGGTCAGCTTCAGCTTGGAATGAAGATTTGGATTAGTTTTTACTTACTCTGAGTACTGATCCCAGCAAGCAGCTTTCCATCTCTCCAGTTACTTATTTGTAGCAATTGCTCTCTGCCTCTCCCATGCTGGGGTCCTTCTCCCAGGTAGCAACAGTGGCAAAGGTAGTGGCTGCAGCTTCGCTAACCATTACTTCCCTGGAGGTCCCAGATCAATTCATTATACTGGACTAACTTTTTCTTAGTTTATATTTACATCATCTGCTGCTACTGGTAGCCTTTCAGCAAGTTTGCTTTGGTGGACAGCCTTCCATGGTTTAGGTTTATTAGCCCCCCCCAGCATTCAACACAGGTCCCCAGTTCTAATGCGCACTTGAATTCCTAGCCCAATAATCAAAAAATGCCAGAAAAAAAAAGGATAACTTAAAAGTGGTTCTTACACTGACAAAGCAGAAAGATTTTAAAAGGAAATAAAACCCAAGGAAAAAAAAAGGCAAATAATAGCAAATTGTATACATACTGGAAATACAAAGTTGTAGGGTTAAAATGAAGCTCAACATATATCAGAAAGCTATGATTAAAGCTGGAGACATCAAGGACTCATATTAGGGCGTTCACGGAATAGCAGCAGTAATCCAGGGGTTCAAGTTTTCATCTTGTTAGCTTTTGTGTATGTATCCTGATGTGGTCTCAGACACTCTGGAAAGCCAGGCTGAGTTGTGTCCCTGTGCCACTCCAGTTCACATCAGGCATTGCTCACAGAAAGGTCACCCAGATTTGTTTAATCCAACCAACTTCTACTGTGTGGTTTTGCTGTGCAAGAGGTTATTTGAAGGGGTTTTAGCTTCTGCCTGTCACAGACGCTGTGTGTGCAGAGGAGCAAAGAGCAGAGCTGTTCGTGACAGCTGCCTCCAAGGTCAGAGGTGGAGCGGCAGCGGGTGCAGAGGAATGTTCATTTTCATCATGTCTGTCAGCCTCACAACAAATGAAATTGCTGCTAATACCAGTATCATTTCTCCTTAGAATCTGTCACTATTTATCATTTAAGCTGCCTGCAGAAGTCCTCCTTCTGAATGACCTGCAGTCCTGTGAGAGAGAAAAGAAACAATAACTTTGATTTTCCTGGACACTGTAAATCCTCTTTTTCTTCAGAAGCTCATCAGGTGGACAGGGAGCTATATTAGAGGTGTTAAGATTGAGTTTGCCAGCTGTCATTCACTCTGCAACGGTAGTATTCACTTTCAGCTAAGCTGCTGCCATTTAACTGAGCAGTGGGAGGTTATACTTGACCCTGCATGTAATCATAAACAAAGTGTTCAGATTTCTGGAAGGGCTTGCTCTGTGCTATCCATCTGCAAATAACTCTATCCCTCTTCAAAAGGCAAATACAGTGCTAGAAGTCTTCACTCGGGCATGGAGAGCCATTAGCACTGGAGGGATGGGACTGTCAGTTTCTTATTATCTTTAGAAAAGGTTCATGCGAAGCTCAAGAAAGGGATAAAGAATTTGAAAAGCAAGAAACAAAAAAATCTGAAAAAAAAGCTGTAATAAAAAATAAATTGGATTGGTGAAATAATATGGCAAATGGTATGTGGTACATTTCACTGCTGTGCATCAAATTATTTTTGTAGTAGTTGTCCAGCTGCATTGGTAATCCCTTGTAGATGTCAGTTGCAAAGAAAGCTAACTCAGAGTCTTACTGAAAATTACATTCAACACTTGACACACAACAGCTCCTCTAACTTCCTGACTGTGGATATGGAAGGTGTATATTCCTTTTCTGGCTGTGATTTACAGCTCTATTTAATGAATGGATCCAATTTAGCTTCAATCAGCTGACAAGATTATTGCTTGGTACAGCCCATCGACTTCTGGTATGGGTATGTGACCACTTCTTAATCATGAATTACAGCAGATTTATGGCATAGCATTTTAATTTAAGCCATTGCCAATTGTGGGGAGGTGGTAACATCTTACAGTCGTTTGATTTAATGTACTGCTGAGCGCGTGTCTGAACATGGGCTCTGGAGCCTACATAGGGAACAGCTAAGTCTTTCTAGTCCCACAGACTCTTACAATACCATCTCTTAACATCTAACAAAACCAACAGAAGGTGCCAGGTGACCTGGGGTGTTCCTACATTGTTCCTACACTGGGACTGCATTTGCTGTCAGGAAAGCTCCTTTTCCTCTGCTAGCTGTTTGTATTCTGTTGTGCACTACAGGCTGCCTTGCCAGATGCACATAGACATTGCTTCCTTTTCTATTCAAGTGGAGTTGAGTTGCTTCATCTTTTTCAGGATCAGGTCTTTGTTGGTTTTATGCTAGAGAAAATACCTTACTTGTGGACTTTGGCACTTCTTTGAGTTACCTTAGGCACCTGGGCAGGCTCTGTAAGATGCAAGCTAAACAGCAGACCACTGTATAATACAGGGTCTTGCTGCAGCAAAAATACACAAATGGCTAAGTGGTGAAGCCAGGCGGGAAGGTAATGGGATGAAGGTGTAAACAAGATAACATTAGCTCTGTAACTTGTGAACTTGCTGACAAGCCAAACATTTGTGATGGATCCGGTGAACTTGATCCCACAAGATTACATGATTTGCATCTTTCCTTGAATGGCACAATTTTAACTGAAGGTAGAGTTACTTCTTCAGTAAAATCCTAACAGCAGAGGTCATAAACGAGGAAGTAATCTGGGAAGACTTAATCCTGTGTGAGCGATGTTTTGCATGTCATTAGCTGGGGTAAATTATGTTCCTCTCTGAGTATACCCTGATGCCTTTTTGCACAAGGAGTGTAGAGCCTGCTTTCCATGTCAGGGAGGCGGGCAGCTCTTTGGGAACTGCCCCAGCACTCCAAAATAGACTTCCACTCTTGGGAAGCAATTACCGCACCGGCGCCGTGTGCCTGTGCCAGCCCAATTTGGGAGCTCTGCCTCTCCGCATGTCCAGTGGTCACTATGCCCCCAGGGGAGAAGTCCCTCCTACTGCGTGTTGTTGCAATGAGAGGGGAAAGTAGTAGGTTTTCCAACCTGAGGTACAGCTGCGTGTCCTCTCACAAGTTAAATAGAGTCACTTTTACCCCCAGCCCAGTCTGTTCCACCTGGGCAGAAGGAGGATTTAAATTCAGCCCCTGCTATCGTGAACACCTCTCTAGTCACCTAAACTGATTTCTAACATCCATAAATTCAGCAGGGACTGCAGTGAGCATCTGTTTCAATTTCCAGGCACCACCAGGACCACGTAAATGGGCGTTTATGGAATACTTGAAAATACTTAATTTTGTGCATTACTTGCAAATTATCAGCTAAGGGCCTTTCACTCAGCAATAGTGCATGATGCCTTTGTGTGCGGGGAAGGCACAGAGCCCCCGATGCAGACCGACAGATGCAGACAAGCTGGGGAAGGCTGGGTGACTTGGCAGAGGAGCCGTAGGGGTTGTGCTGGCATCCCAGATGGGTACTGGCCCTGCAGGGAGCTTGTCAGGAGGGGCTGAGATCTCCCCATAGCAGGGGCACCCTCTGTCTCCAAACACTGAGTAGCCTCCAAACTCTTGCTGGTGCTAAGTACAGTGCAGTGGCCTGCGCCCGTGGCAGCCCAGCCCTCTGCTGTGACATGCCAGGGAGCTGAAGCCCTGGAGTCTGTAAGGTTTGAGGTGGCAAGTTAGCTTTTGCAGCAATAGTGTTAATCCTGTTTGAAGGAGAGCATCTCTTCTAGAAATCCTCTCTGGACTTTGTAATGTCCAGGAATGGAGACTCCATTGCAAGCTGCATTGCAGTTAAACATTTCCCTTCCCATTTTTATTTCTAAACCAGGATATTAAAATACAAGGTTTTAAAGAAGAATATTTGTCCTTAATAACAGGCACGCAGAACAGAACATTTCATTTTTTGCAGAAATGTAAGGTCTTATCTAGTGGATGGAATATCCAAGATAAAAACATCGTTTTGAGTTGTTTTTTTCCCCAGTTTCCCCAGAGGAAATCTACACTGGGTCGAGTTGTTCACATCTGCAACCTCCCCGAGGGAAGCTGCACAGAGAATGATGTCATTAACCTGGGCCTCCCATTTGGGAAGGTCACCAACTATATCCTCATGAAATCCACTAATCAGGTATTGTGCATTTGGGGTCACCAGTATTAATGTCTATTGGCATAAAGACATATTGTTATGAAGACAGAGTCTTTGGGGAAAATCTCTTTTTTTGTAATAGAAATATTTTGTAATTAAATAGATGAAGCCTGCTCTTAAAGTAAAAAAAAAATTGGTGTTCGCAGAATGAGATGATGGCATAAACATGACCACTGCCTTATAGTTGTTAAAAAAAACCCAGAAATCTCAATGAAGTGTTGTAAAACTGTGTTTAAAAAAAATAATTTTTTTTAAGTGAATAACTTGGCCACCTTCTCCCAGCCATTTGCTAGGATTACTTTCAGACTCCTCTTGTTCTGTTTTGGAGGTTTTTATTGCTTTTTTACTGCTACTCATAGAAGTGAACTGGGCATTGAAGAATGACTTGCACTCTAGTCTGATTCTGCTGTCTTACAGTGTTTGCTGAACTGTTGTTACAGCAGAGGCAGATCCTGCAATGGTGTAATTACAGTTACAGGCTGGAGTCGGAGCCCCCAGGCCATGGCTGCACTGGGTGATCTGGTGTGCACATGCTAAAGGAAGGCTGTGCTCTTACAGGGGACACTGACATCTCACTCACTCGCTTTTAATCTGTACTGGATTGTAGTAGAGCTCTTTCTTCAAGGTAGCTTAAGTCTGCCTTAAGTAGCTTAAGTCTACCAGTGGTAGGCTGGGAAGACTAGAAAATCTTCTCACATACATGCAGCAGACAATACAGATGGATGTAGAATCCATGCTGGTGGGCAATGTTTGAGATTGTAATGTTTCAAAATGAAGTCATTACACAGCTGTGAGTATACTCTTTGACCAGTTAAACTGGAGTCACATCAAATGCAATTTTCATGTAAATAAAAGTGCTAGTTAACATCATTCAGGTTTTTTATACTCTTTTTTTGGCTTTGTTCTGCCTGCTCATGCTCTGATGTTCTGCTTTTATCTGGATTCCTTGCAATTCTGCAAGACACAGCTGACAATCTTGGGAGCAGTGCATGCTGCAGCGTTGCAGTTCTGCATCCTGTCAGCAGCTGATCACAGTGTAGAAGCACCAGTGAGGAAGCGAGGGAAAGGAGATGTTTTCATATATTGAGAAAGATTAGATTCCAGTCATTTATTTTTTAACTAAACTGGCTTCTAAGGTTGCATATTGGCTTTAATAGCTGGGTTGAAATCATTATTTGAAGTTTAACGGAGGCTGAGCAATGGACTGTTACTATTTCAGCACCAGGGCTGGAAAGCTACCCAGTCTATACTATCAAGACATTTTGCATGAGAAGAATCCAAATGAAAATTATTGTGCTGCCTTTTCTCTCTTATACTTCATATTTTTAATTATGTAGTAGATTTTAAAGCTCTCCCCATTTGTGCTAGGCCTTTCTGGAAATGGCTTACAGTGAAGCAGCACAAGCCATGGTGCAGTACTACAAAGAAAAACCTGCTATGATAAATGATGACAAGTTACTTATTAGGATGTCTAAAAGATACAAGGAATTGCAGCTGAAGGTAAGATAGTCATTCCTGGTTAGATTTCCTGAGTTTCCATGGCACGTCCTGGAGAATACATCTAAAAATCTTTGCTGATTACTGATTTTTAATTAATGCTTTAATATTATGGAAAAAGAAATTAAGAAAGATAAATTAATGAATGTATGTTAACAGTCTTTTATACTTAGCTGCTTGCTCTTGTTCTAAATTTTAACTCTTGGAAGAGATCCCATTTTTTCTGGTCCTCTCATACCATTGTTTCAAAAATCCCTTCTGAGCTTCCTTCTGAGCAGGCTTCCCACATTGCTTGGTCTAACAAAGGTCTAAAACACAGCCATGTGTAGGATACAACATGTCAGCAAAAATAAGATGGTCCTATCCTTTCAGTCAGGCATTAAGCCTGAAGCAATGCTTTTCACTGCTTGCATGCTTGAGCTGTAGTACAATCTCCGTACCACACAGTGATGGCAGGGCTAAACATCACACTGATTTCTTTTTCTTTCTTTCTTGTGAATGACCTAAATTGAAAAGCAAGGGTTTTGGTTTTGGGTTTGTTTTTTTTTTACATAGAGCCAGAACAGAGCAATAATCTTCAGACTTTCTGTAGACTGTGTGACACCGATGATGTATGTGGACGCCTGAGGGATGTCCAAAAATCAGTGCTCTTGTAAGCATATTTATGGAAGCTTATGTACTGCCATGTATAATCCTAAGAGAGTATCTTTTTTTTCATGGAGACTTGGACTGGAACAGGCAATGCAGAGCTGAAAAGCTTCATATTGTATTATCTAACACAGCACAAAGTTATTTTATAAAATAACTCTGTACTGTTCCAAGAGGTTAAGGGGCCTTTTATGAGCCTTGAGGGAAAACAAGTAACTCAGATGGCTTGGTTTGACCTTTGGAAAAGTCTCTTTCTCTCCTGTGTGTGTATAATAGTTTAAGGAGACTTAAAGGAGTTGCCAAAAGTTCATAAACCAGGGCAGTCTTTCTTAGTGTGGTACGGTGAGGAGTTCAGATGTGAGGTGGTGGAGACTGTGCATCTTAACATAGAGGTGGACCAGGAATTACGCAGGCGAGTGTGGTAGCCTGCCTAGATTTCAGGAAGATGTTCAGCTTTTCCAGTGGCAGTTTTTCAGGTCCTGGAATTATTTTTCTCTGCACGAGCAAAAGCCCTTGCTCTTTGTTAAAAACAAACAAAAGTGCAACATGGAAGGGGGAATATGCATGAGCTATTTAGCACTACAGACTGCTCTGAGTTCCTGCATGATTATGTTGCTCAGCTGTGCATGCTCCAAGTGTTTGACAAATTGCATGCACTCCAGCCTGGAATAGTGCATCTTTTGTAAATGATCTTGAATCTCAACTAATCAACACTCCCAGTACACGTCTTTCTTGCACTTAGCTTTTCTGAAGCTCTTGTGTCTGAACATAGTCTTTTAGAGCTATACTCCAGAATGAGCTAAACTCTGAGATGAAGAGAAGGCAGTTCATTCCTAGAGGATCAGAGATAGGCTGCTATACACATTTAATTCAGATATTAGAAAAATTGTCTGGTTTGTTTTCCTCTTACATCCAATTCCTAGAAAATACTTGGTAGTGAATGCGTAACAGGGAAGGACAAGCTAGTTTTCAAAGCCTGTTAGAGCAGCCAAGTATGCAGAGACAGTGCTACAACAGAATGGAGCAAATTTTCCATTTGTATCATTTTACTGCTTTGATCCTGTTATTGAGATACCAGCTGCAGAAAAGACGGTAACCACAACACTGGAACCAAATATTTCTTAGTAGTAGTATAATTGAGTGATGCATGGATGCTGTTTCTTGAAGGACAAATCACCTATATTAGCTTGGAGAGTAGTGCAGCATGCTAAACAGTGTCTGTCTTATTTAGAAACCAGGTAAGAACGTGGCTGCTATCATCCAGGACATCCACTCGCAGAGGGAGAGGGACCTGCTGCGTGAAGTGGACAGGTAAAGTTTCTCCATAGTTTGAAACTGGGACCTGGATAAGTCTGTAAACCTGCAGGTAGAAAAAAAATTATCTGCATGCTTCCCCCTCTTATCTCATTTGCTTTCTTAATTTGGATTTCACTTCAAATCACTGTAAAAATAAAAGTCGGTACAATAGTAGGTACAGGGCCTATATAGTGAGATCAGATTGAAACCATGCATGTTATGAAAATAAATGAACTCTTTCCTACTGATGATGATGACTCAAAAAATATGCCTGGCGTGAAGAATGCACAAATGAAGCTGTTCCCCTCTCCTCCCCCTTGAGTGAAAAGCGTAAAGGCTGGGGCTGCTGTGAGACCTAGCGGGAAGAAGCCAGTTCAGATTAAAACGTATTTGGGTATATTTCTGATCTGCCTGACTTCTGGACCTTCCAGCAAAAATGGAGAGGAATGACAGTCCTAAAACATCTCCTTTACACAGGTGATCCGTGTCACTTTTGTCTCAGTGATGCCTTAGATGACTGAGTATTAAGGATACAGACATTAGGGTCATTGTAAAGGTATTAACATATTATAAGCTTTTAATGCTAAACCCCTATGAGACGCTTTTAAGAATGAATGAATATATTCTTGACAGATCTGTGGGGATTTAGTTAAGGTGTGTGGATATGACACTGCCTTTTCTCCTGTTCACTGTGTTTGCAGCTGCGCAGTGCTTGTCTGTGAAAGGCCTGGGGTCTCAGGTTCGCAGATGCCAGGGCAGTCCCCGTGTGTTTCCAGTGTGCAAGAACATGGTAGACCACAGTGGGTCAGCCAGTTACAGCTGTCTTTTCCCTCTTCAGCAGGTATGGCACGGAGAGGCCCCGCTCTCGCAGCCCCATAAGCCGTTCCCTGTCGCCCCGATCCCACACTCCCAGCTTTACTTCCTGCAGTTCACCCCACAGCCCAATGGGGACCGGCAGGACTGACTGGGGAAATGGGAGAGAGTCGTGGGATCAGTCCCCGTATTCTCGACGGGAAGAGGAAAGAGACAGCAGAGAATGGCGAGAGAATGGGGATGAGAAGAGGGACAGGACTGACACGTGGGTACACGAGAGGAAACATTATTCCCGACAGCTGGACAAGTTTGATTTGGATGAACGGATTGAAGGAGGCAGAGGGCACAGAGAAAAGTATTTAAGGAGTGGTTCCCCTGGCTCCCTTCACCCTTTATCTGGCTACAAGAGCAGGGAAGATGACTATTACCGGAAAACCTCTAAGTCAAAATCTGACAAGTTTCAGAGGCAGCTGCAGGATTTACCTGGGAGATCTAAGAGAAAGGAGGAGGCAAAGTTAAGGGAACGCAGGCATTCTTACAGCGAGGATGCTGCCAGGGAGGAGGCAGCTGAACAGAAGCACAGCAAAGCGTCTGAGGGCTCCAGGCAAAAACAAAGTGATAAGAATAAGGTGAAGAAGGCTGAAAAAGACCAAGAGGAACATGCTGCTGCTGAAGGCAGTGATGTGAAGGAAACCAAGCCTCCCGAGAATGAGGTAAATAGAGATCTCAAACTGTATGTGAGAAGGTGGTAAATACTAAAGTAATATATTTTCTGAAATATTTTAGATCAGTTGTGTGGGTGTGGTACTGGTGACATGCAATGTTTTGCCATGGTAAAATCAGGGAATATAGTCCTAGAGGAGATCTTGGGAGGTCATCTTGTTTACGTCTTTGCCGGGATCATGCAGATCTATTACACTGTTGCGGTGTTGGGTACATGGGTGTTGTCTTTCTGTGTCAAGCACAGAACCTCTGGGTAACCAGTGAGGTGAAGGGGACAGACAACTAAAAACCAAGTGACAATCTGCTGTTTGCATGCACATTGTGTGTGCAGGGGCAATTGCCCCGCTGCTCTCTCTTCTACTTCTGTGCAGAATACCCCATAGCTGCTGTCTCTGCCTCCATCACCTCTTTCCTCTGCCTGTGATGTGGATTGAGTTATCTGGGAATGAAGTGGTATTTTACAGGGATACGCAATATTTGTAGGACAATCCAGGGAACTGGTTGTTCTAGTGCTAAAATGGGGAATGAACTTTTAATGAGGAACATTTTCTTTTTGGTCAACTCAACAGAGCAGTTGGATTCTATTAATCATATGTCCCTACCCTCAGCTGTGGCAGGGATAATTCACACCACTCCCTTCAATGTGCTGGCAGGAATCTCTTCCCATGGCAGAACCCCTGAATCAGCTCACCTGTAAAATTATGGGATCTCTGGAGACGTACTCCCAGTCAGTAAAGTGGCAGCATTTGTGGCTTTGATTCTCCCCTGGGAAAAAGTGAAGAGGGAACAGATCAAGATGCCTCATTCGCTCAGTCCCAGTACAGCCCATGCTCATATCCCCACCCTATGGGGATCTTGTTACTGGCTCTTGGCCACCTTGCCTCCCCCAGTCCCCCCTGGGGATACACTGCCGTCATCCACCCCCGGGCACGTGGGCGCAGCAGGCTGCAGAGCTGCTTTGCTGACCAGGGGTCCATCTCTAGCTTGTGACTTTGTGCTGCCAGGGCCATCTTTGGTTGTTTTTAGTTGACCATGTGTTCATTCTTCTCATGTGGGGGCAAGGTTGGTGGAAATCTTTAGATCTCGTAACTCAGCCAGTCTCTGTAACAGGCAGGAACACTACTTCATGCCATAGATATGTGTGTCTGTACCACCTTTTGTCATCTTTCTGCTTTGGCTGGTATTTCACTGTGATGGATGGTTGCTTGGGATGAGATGTCAGAGAGAAATGTCAGACAGCATCCTAAATCACCAGTGTTGCACACTCCTCTGTGTGTTTTTCAAGTTACTTTAAAGTGGCTTTGTTAAAGGCATGCCTCTCCAGGGACTACTGCTAATAATTTATTTTAAAAGGAAGAAGTAGGTTTGAATGTCTTGAACTCACACTTTTGCTTCGCCCCTCTTTTACCAAATGCCGGGTAGTACTGTGGCTTTGTTCTTCCAAAGTATGGACTGTGCAAGCAGTTGCATTCTCAGCTGATCCTACATCAATAAACAAAACAGTTGAGGTCTTTTGCAGAGTTTTAACACTGCTGCTCTCCTTACCATGTCTGAGCCAATGTAACAGATGTGGATAGAGAACAGAGGAGTGGAGGCTGGAAATTTTAATGAATTCACATTCTCCCCCACCTGTCTTCTAGCCAATTCTATGATATAAATTACAAATCTCTAATTTTGTTTAAATTTCTTTTTCTTAATTCTTATTTATGCAGCTTTGCTAATGGAATCCAATTGTTGGGTCTTTTCCCACAGCCTAGTTGACTTGCATAAACTTTAGAAATAAAGAATGTGACCTTGTGAGTGACTTTGCTTCCCTAAACCCAGAATAGAAACATACTAGAGCACCACTGTGTGTTGCTATACATGTATATGTTGTATTTATTTTAGCTTGGAAAAGAGGAGCAAGTTCCAGAGAAGAGCTCACCTTCAGCTGATAAACAAAGAAAAGAATCTGGAGAGATTCTGGAAAACACAAGAAAAGAGAAGGTTGGTGACACATTGTTGGTGCAGCTTCCACAACAAAATGAGTGAAAACCCAGGTTTGGTAGCATGTTCTCCCAACTGAAATATTAAACCCCCGTGGAAAGGCATGTAAAGGGGTTGTAGAAGGGGGTTGTCTAAATTAACTTGCCTTTTCTTGACCTCTGCTTTAAGGGATAGCTTTTCCTGAAGTCTCCAGAACTTTTTTTAGTTGCTCTTTGCCGATGTACATTGCTTCACATGCATAGCCCTTGGCACTGGCAACTGTAAGTAACGTATGCCCAAGTGAACTGTGTAACTTTGTGAACCGTGCCCAAAAATAGGAGATGCGGTCAGTAAGTGGAGAAGGAGGGGACTAATGATGAAAACTTTTCAGCACATTGGCCTTAAATGGGCTGTAGATAGTAGCCTCTTCTGATTGTTTCTGGTTTTAATTAAATAATGTCTTTACAGCACCCCTACTGCATCATCACAGTTGGGGACAGCAATGTCCTTGGAATTTCTCCAGCTTCATATCTGTAGGGTCATGGGTTGATGGTCAGATATGGAAGCTATTGATATCTGTTGCTGTAGAAAACTGATCTCCTGGCAAGAACAGTGTCAACTCCCAGAGTTTTCGTGCTGTTTTAGGATTCTAGGAGGGGAAGTGTGGGAATGGCCAAACAGGAGGAGAATCCAGATTATTAATAGATTATGTGTACGCGATGAGTCTGGGAGTTGAAATCTAAGCTGCAAGTGTGTCTTAAAAGTAACATATACCTTATCATTCTAATACTTCTGAAGTCCAATATTAGTGTCTGAGTTCTATGTCTATAACTGCACGTATGAGGTATTTCAGATTATGTACCTTGGAGTATAACTGTAAAACTGCTTTTTCTTAAGGTCTAGACCAATCTCTGCCAACACAGTCCCTGGCAGAGGGCTCTTGCTGGTGGAAGTAAATGACTGCAGAAGGTAGCCATGTTTTCTCAGTCACCATAGGAATTTAAAGGACCTAGTCCAGCAAAGTGAAAGCCACAGTGGCTAGACTGGGGTTCAGTATGTTCTCATTGTGCTGCCTATTTCTCGCCACCCTGGGATGGAGGTAGAGGAAGGGGAGAGATTCTTTTCCTTGGGGATCACATAGTAGCATCAGTTGCATAATAAAGTATAACAAGTTGTACCTTGTTCTACTGTTACAGAATAGTAAGAAGCAGGAGACTGGAGAGACTGTAATCCCCAAGGCAGTTACAGAATCTCCACAAAGTGAAGTTTATGTGATAATTAAAAAGAGATCGCTTATCCTTGTGCATAAGGTTTAAAATCACAACACCAAGGCATACTGTTCTTTGAAACTAAAATACAAGAGGGGTTAGGCATGGCCAGATCAAAGTTCTTCCCTGGTTACTATTGTTCAAAGCCCACTTTTTAACAGTGATGATCTGTAATCACTGATCTCTCAAATGTTTTGCATCTTTGTGACAGGACCGAGACTGGGAGAGTGGAAGTGAGATAGAAGGTGAGACCTGGTATCCTGCTAACATGGAGGAATTAGTGACAGTAGATGAAGTGGGAGAAGATGATTTAATTATGGAGCCTGATATAACTGAGCTTGAAGAAATAGTACCAGTTGATCAAAAAAATAAAACCGCTTCAGAAATATGTCCCTGTATGTCAACTATGTTAGAACTGAAAAATGATCACAGCCACTTAATCAGGAGTGAAGACAAATTTGCCCATAAAGCTTTAGAAACAAACTTCAGATCAGCAAAGGGCAGTGTAGCTTCTAGTGGCTGTCAGGATGATGAGGAGGATGATGATAATGATGATGCTGTAACTGAAGCATCAAGCCTAAATCTGGACCCTGAGCAGAAGCCAGAGGAATTGCAAGAAGACCAATCTGCTAAGGAGTCTGATCCCCAGCAGAAGGAAGGAAAAATCGATAAGAGCTCTGACACTCGTTTAGAGCCCGAAGATCACCATATACCTTCTGTTGCTCTGAAAGAAGAGACTCTCCAGCTCCCTGATACATTTATAGATGATTACAAACAGATGGGATCACAAGGAGCTGAGAGCAGAGAAGTTATGGAAATGCTTGTTAAAAACGCTAGTGAGGAAACAAGACACGGAAGCCAAGAGTGTCCAGAGGCCAAGGGTAACTACTGTTTTTTTTCTTTTCAGCCTGCAGAAAGCCTTGCATGTTTTCTCTGACAGTAGACTGAAATTTATTGCTAACAAGAATAAATGTTGCTAATAGTATCAAGACTTGTCCTAGGAGTGGCTCAGTAAAAGAACCCCAGTGCCTTTCGCCAAGCTAAACCATTAGAGGCTCTTAGCTGAATAGTGTAAAGGAAATATGATAAGCAGCTTGCAAGCTTTCTGAAAGGCACAAGCTTCTATAATTGTCATGTCAAGGTTCACATGAGTTTAGCTGAACTCGTTCAGTGCCCTGCTAAATTTATTTTGAATTGTCAATGAAATGAGTGACAGTCTCTGAAGGTCAACAGAAAAGCATCTGTAATGTCTGGCTGGCTCTTGGACAAGGTGGGTATTCCTACACAACATACTGAAGCCTTAGTAACATGGAAATCATCCATAGATTGTTACTTCTCAGTCCCTGTTCACGCAATTATGTGCCTTTTGTCAGGACTTGCCTTAACATCTCCAGTTATCTGCTGCATGCTGTCTTTAATACAACTGATAGGACATGCTGTGAGATAATGCCAATAAATGTAATCATAGCTGCCTATTAATATTTTAGCTGTCAGGAAAAAAAGGGTCTTGAATGTCTGAAAGTGAGTTCAGTTCCTCATCACACTTTCAAGTGAAACTTGAGCAAATGGGCTGTATATAATGAGGTGAAGTGGAAAACAACATAGACCATATTGGCCAGGAATGTTCTTTTTTGTTGCTACTGGAGCCCATGTGATGGAGAAGGGGTTGTGAACAGAAGTTGATGGAATATTTTTGAGGGTGCAATGTTCCACCAGAAAAATGCTGGAACATTTAATGTGAATGTCTTTATTTTGAACTAACTTCTTCCTCCATGACAGATTTGAAACTCGCTCAGTTTTCAATACTTACATATTTGGCCTGAAGACACCTTGCCAGGCTTTGCATATTTGGGGCTGGGGATGGCAAGGTTGGCCCCCTTGGGCTGCCCACTTCACGGGCAGCCAGCTGACGAAAGAGAGGGGTATCCCAAGAGCATAGTTACTTCGGTGTTTTCAGCATCTCAGCTTCCAACTTGCCAGCAGGGAGCCTGGAAGCTCCAGGGCAGCTTGTGCTTCCCAGGTGCCTTGCATGGACTTGATATCTGGGATCTGCAGTGCAAGGCTCTAGGCTCTCTGCCAATGCAGCTGCCAGCTCAGAAGCCCAGAAATCAACTTAAGTGGGACTTCAGTTGCTACAAAGGCCCTGGGTGTCTTAAGAAGAGCTAACTGAAGCTTGCACGTTTTGCAGGATCTCTGTTGCAGATTTGGAAACCTGGGATGGGCTTAAAGTTAACTTTAAAGCCGACTAGACAGGATTTCATATTATTTTCTTTTAAATCATGTAATAGACATATTTAAAACAATGAAGAAAAATTAATTCTCATGGCCAGAACTGGCAGATCTTTGAACTACAGACTTGAAAAACAAGAAGGGTTTCGTTTGGGCAAAAATATATTTGTTTTATGATAAAATACATCCCTTATCTAGGTGAAATCTGCAATGCAATAGAATTTTGTCAGTGTAAGGGAACGAGTTCTTCGACGTAAGAACTGAAGAATAGGAATCAGACCAGTTTATCTGTAATTCTGTTGCTCTGTGATAACAAATTTCTCTTTTTTAAACAAAAACAATTCACATGTTGGGAAGGGAGAGCATCTGTTCTTTTGACTGGCTTTATCTGGCTCAGCAAATCAATCCACTGTTTTCTACTCCTTGAATCTCCTACCTGTGCCCATTAATGTCAGTCAGCAGGGACTAACCAATCCATCCCTACTGGCCAGGAACCAAAATCTTCAAGTGGCCAAGAGCCATAAAGCAGAAACTACCCCTTGGAGAGCTGAGGATGGGAAAAGAGTGGCTCTGGGGAGAAGATGACCACGGTGCTGCAGGGGTCCTACCAGAGGAAGGTTTGCTCTGCCCACACAGCTCCTTAGACACCTTAGACAGTTTGGGGATTTACTCTCAGCAGGTCCTGCTGTCCCCCCCTTTCTCAGCAGCCTCTGTGTTAGCCCAGCTCCATCCCTGGTCATACAGTACCATACGTGCTTACAGAGCTGCAGTCGGACCATGCTTGTGCCAGAGGCATGTATAATGTTATAGATCTATTTGAAGATTAGAATATGAAAAGAAAAAAACATAATGGATGTGAAATTAGAAATAGAAAAATGGTCTACTGGGAGAAACAGGGGTGCTGCACAGTGTAGTGCAGCTGTTGGAGTTGCACTGAGTGGTCCTCTGATTTGAATGGAAAAGCATTTTTTCCAGATTTTACTTCATTTCTAGATCCACCCAGAAAGTGTTCCCAAGAAGTTTACCAACGTCTCTTTAAACTAATAAACTATTTTCATTCAATACATTTATTCATTTGTTAAGCAAATTCTAGGTACCTGGAAATGAGATCTCTGGAATACCCGGAGGTAGAGTCTAAAAGAAGGCACTCTCCGCCAGGCTGGGAACAAGAGGACGTCTTCACTGAACTCAGCATTCCCCTGGGTATGTTCAGATGCCCAGGCTGCCCTCAGCCTGCAGTGCTGCCCACTGCAATACCTAGAGCTTACAACAAGATGTCACTTTAAGGCTACTTGCTATGTTTATTTTTCAGAACAGATGTGAGGAGGGTGAAGGCACAGGGTATATGACAGAGGGGTAGCTGTTGAAAGAAATAGGCTTTCGATTATAGATCATTGCTAATTTCATTCAAGATGAATGGCAAAAGATTGCTGTTAATGTTGATGAGATGAAATAAGTTCCTTTGGACTACATGTGGAATATATATGAAAAATACTTTGTAATGTAAAAGTCTTTGTCATAAAAGTATTGCTTATACTTTCAGTAAAAGCAAAAGTACTGATTTTACTGTGTAAACACTGATCATGAGTAAAACACCTGGAAGAAGTACATCCTAAAGAGCAATCTTTGTAACTTAAGCATGTATTTATTGCTAATAAGTACTATTGCTATTCTAGCCCTTGAGGTTACACAGTGAAGTTTCCAGTCAATATTATGCGCAGGACGGTACATTTTTAAATATGTATAATAGCTATGAGAGAAGTGGAAGGTCTATTTGCAATGCACAGGATTTTAAACTGCAGCTCAGTATTGCAAAGTTAGGGAAATCAGAGAAGTGAATCCAGGATTCAGTCTTCATATCTATGCCATTTAACTAAACAGCAACTTTTTTCTTTGAAAACAAGTTTATTGTGGAGGGGAAGGGTTTCAACTGACATTTTAATGTAATTCAGAATTTCTCAATAGGTGTGGAATTTGTGGTGCCTAGAACTGGGTTTTACTGCAAGCTCTGTGGACTCTTCTACACAAATGAAGAGACAGCAAAGACAAGTCACTGCAGAAGTACTGTTCACTACAAAAATCTTCAGGTAAAAACACACTTGAAGCTAGCTAACAACCAGCTCATGGGGTAGATTATGTGTTAAGACAGATGATGCTACAAAAAATTAGGTTTTATTCTGTGGACAGAATTCAGATGAAGTGAAATTTAGATAAGCAAAACTCTTCAGTAGTTCCAAATGTTAGCCCACTAATTTCTCACTCCCAGATCCTTGAAATCAACTTCTGGATCATAAGTAAAATGGGGCCAGGTGATAATTTGATATTCTCATCTAAATTTGGTCCTTGTCACTAGCACAGCTTGCAGCTCAGATCTTTAATTCTCTGTTCTTGAGGGTCCCAGATGTTTCTATCACTGGGAGTCAGCCCAGCAGTAGCCTTTCTTATTTCTTAATTTCAGGAGCATTAAACATGCCACTTGTTTAATAATGTTGCCAGACTTATTTTTGCATTAGCGTGAATTTCTGCAGCATGTTTCAGCATGCAGTACTTTGTGACGCACAGGCTCTCCAAGGCATTTCCTGTGACCTGCTGAAATCACCTCCCTGTGCTACAGAACAGCATGGCAGATCAGCCACGCAGAACACCACTACTGAATAATTTCTATAAGGATATGCAGAAGCATGTCATTACTTGTATGGTTTCCATAAGAATATACCATAAGCATATCAGCACTTGATAACAGCACACAGAGACCACAGGTGCTTGCAGTTCAATTAAAAGACCCTACCTTTATCATTTTTCAGATGCACAGTTGATAGTATCAGTCATGACAGCATGAGCATTAACTGCCCTTTGCTGAGGACTCCTCAGAGGAGGTAGCGTTACCTCTCATCTCGAGTCCCTGCCTGTGTGCAGGGTGTGTACGCTGCAGAAGACGCTTTTGTTGGCATTCGCATACTCTTAGCAAAAGTCATGAAAGAGCAAAGCAAAGCTGCTCCTTCTTTCTCTGTTCCTTCCCTCTGCCCATAGTAAATGCTGGAGCTCTGCTTCTCTTCAATTAACACTATCTTTCCCTAGCTGGCTAGTAGGTATTGGCTTTTCTAGTGACACTCAGAGTCAAATAATGTCTCTGGGAGAATTTTCTTCTTCACTCTCCTGAAGTTACCTAGTTGTAATCATACAAAGGCCTCTGGCTTTCAAAGGCTGTGCCTGCAGAGCTGTGATGCTTGCTTATAATGGATCCTTCAAGTGTAAGCTTGAAAAACAGGTGCCCAGTTTGCATGCCTTTTTTTGCTTCGTACAAAAAAAATCCAGAGGGATTCACCAGAGGTGGCACCACTCGGTGCAGGCTATGTATCTCATGTGAGTCTGTCCCAAAGAAACTTGTGCTAAACCAAAGATTGCAACTCCAGCCCCTGACCCTGGCAACTGGTCCCATGGAAAGAAGAGGGATTTTTCTCGTTTTCTAAGTAATTTTGTTAAAGTCATAGGAAAAAAGGTCCAACTAAAACTGAGTCAGTGTGAAAAAAAAACTCTTTTTCTCCCTGTTAAGATATTTCCCATGAGCACTGTGTAGATACCTAACACTGACTTGAGATAAAAGAACAAAGACCACAAAAGCTGTTAAAGTTAAGTCCGTCAAATATGGTAATGAAAACAGACTGTTCTGTTGAGCCATACCTCTTATCTTGCTAAATGGAGGAAATAAATGTCTCATCCAACTTTTGCCCACTCAGATGGAAACTCCGTGAATTTTAAGTAATTGTTCTCTACCAGGACCCTTTTAGTTGCAATAATGCTTATTTATGCAGCCTGCAAAAAATGTCAGTCTTCCCCTGTGATGATGCAGTTTAATGAGTGTATCCACCAACATCAGAATTATGGACTCTTACTGTATGTGAAACTATGGGACTGCTGCTGCAGACTTTCTGTTGTCTTGCCTACATGACAATTACCATTGTCCTATGACAATGACATTGTCCCAAATGCTCTCATGGCTATGAGTCTTTTATAGTTGATTTGCTACTTGCTGTCTTTCATGTGATCTCCTTGGAGCCACATCCAAAATATATGTTCAGTGTTTGGATTTGAATGCAAAACTAAACAGTTTGTTTACCAGTTTTCTTTGAAAAGCCTTGCTTAGATGATGATGATTTTGTCTTGAAGTAAAATAGTCAACTTCATCTGAGTATGGTACCCCCTGAAGAACAGCAAACACTGAAAAAAATTCAACTGTTTCTTTGTCAGCCTTGCAGCCTTTTTGTAATTTTTCCATTCTCTTCAGCTTAAATGATTTTCCCAGGTGATATTTATATTTACAGATCCAGTGCATTTTCCATGTCCAAAAAATCCATCATTTGGCCATCCCTCCCACTACTACCACAAAAAGCTGTCAGATTTGTCTGTTGTAAGCTACCTTGACAACTCTGCAGCTTTTTATCCTGTTTTCCACTGGCTTTATGTAGTATTCTTCAAAACTCTTACTTAAATGAAAAAATACTTCTTCCTTGACTGTTATTTTGCTATAAATTAATCTGAATGTCTGGCCTGTGAACTTCAAAACTGGTGTTTGTAGTTGTCAAGATAGCTGACAACATCAGCTAAAGGTGGTGGATAAACCTCAGTCTTATTTTGGTGGGTAATCATTAAAAACCAAAAATGCATGGGTTATCATCTGATCCAATGACAAGCGTTAGTGATTTATTAAAGTTCATGGTGTACGGATCATTTCTCCCAGCCTTTATGGACCCTATATCTCTGTATACTACTGTAACATTTACTCTGGCTTTCTGCCACATGGAATTTTGTACCCAGGGATCAAGACTGAGAGTTATGTAAGTTCCACAGCCAAATCTCTATTCAGAGCAAGAAGGGTCCAGTTGTCATTTTGTCACAGGTATATGCCCATTCATTACCATTACTGAGTCCCCTTCAGATGTACCTCTTACATCGAAAACTTGTATTTATGTGAGACAACCTGGCAGTCCTAACACAGCCCTTAGTTTTTTTACATCCATTTCTCATTTCACCTCTGCCCCATGGATGCCTAAGGGTAAACTGTACTCTGGGGGGATCTCGCAAGTAGATAAAATTTTGCAGTGATGCGAGATAGTCTTTTCAAAACAAATCAGAATGAATAATCAGCTAGAAAAGAGAGTTTTATGATCCTAATAATATGCAGGACAGTTATTCTTCCACGTGCTGTAAGTCATTAATAAGAACGTCTCTACATTATCATGTGGGAATTTCCCATGTGTATCTCTAGACTAGCTGCTGCTGAAGAAGCTTCTTTCCATCCATTTCCAGGTCTGTTGACCTTGAATTAATCTTTAAGCACCATTTCCAGACCCACAGCACTTCATCGTCCCTTTTGCGTGCAGCTCTGCCAACCAAGAGCACTGCCAAAAGGCTGAAAGCCTCACTGGTCATGTCTGTATTTTTAAATCACGCTGAGTACTTAAAGCACTGAAAGGCTTTATCTTAGCAAAACACAATAAATGTAAATACTCTAGCCAGACTGCTAAATTGTGTTCATTATTATTGAGTTTGATTATTCCCTTAAAACAAATGTTCTTGTGCAAAAGGTCTATCTCTGAACTGGACATGCTGAAAATGTAATACATTTGCTTTAAATTGTGACTCAGAAACTGCATCTATTTTCTGACACACCAGTCTTATACTAGCACAATTCAGTTGACTCAGTGATTCAGTTCCTGACCTATAGCATATGGGAGTAGAGAGTTCGCAAGGAGAAAAGGTGAGGTCTAGTTACACAAACTGACAGGGGGTCATGGTCCTCCTGGTTCTGTCACCAGTTCCCCTTGTGGCACAGAGTAGATCACTGAACTTCTGGGGCTCTCCACGTGTGCAGGTAGTTTGCCTGACACAGCTATATTTCCTGGCTTGAATTGTCACCAAAATGGGGCTTCTATGTGCTTTCTTCTCTTCTGAGATGCTGCGAGAGTGTGAGAGCTCTGAAAAGGCATAAAGCATCTCATGTTGAATATTTTCAGTTTTGGTAACGATGCTTTGTTTTTTATGTGATTGCAGAAGTATCTATCCCAGCTTGCAGAAGAGAGCCTGAAAATGAAGGAAGAAGGCAGCCATCTGCCTCAGGATGACACTGGCATTGTTCCTCACTTTGCAAAGAAAAAACTGTGATGCAGATGAACTGGAAGAGCTAAAATGAGTGAATGCTGATACTTTATTTTTTTTTATTTCTATGATATAACTGTCAATTTGCACTGTACAGAGGAGGGGAAATAAAGAGCATGTTCCATGCATCTATGCCCAGAGTGCCATTAAAAACCAAAATGCCTGAAACTGTTTCCCACGGTGAAGCAATGCTGGCATATCTGTTAAGAAGTGGAGCAATTCTTTCTCACACTCTGTGTGCTGGGAGTGGTTTCCTAGATTAAATCAGAATTCTCAGGGATTCTTGAAGTTTTAATTCTGATGTGACACATGAGGTCAGGTGGAGTATTTAGAAGCACTCAGCATCCTCCAGTGGTCACTGGAAGGAAAGGAGATGTGACTATAAATAGGCTTTAATGTTGCTTAAAATATCTTCAGCCATTTCACTCCTTGCCCCACCGAGAAGTAGAATTTGCATAGGACATCTAAAGCCATTGTGCTAAAACTAGTCAGTAGATGGCATAACATAAACCCCATCAGCGTCCACCTCCATGTGTCTTAGAGCTTGGTGAAATGATAAAATGTTTGTGTTGTTAAGCACTGACTGTGTTGTAGGAATGCAGAGGGAGCCACAGTCTGTCCCAGGGACCGTATAGCCTGAACCCGGCACAGCGAGAGCAATTTGAATACACATGCTGACAGCTAACCTGCTCTGGTTTTCAGCATTTTCCATGGTGTGATCAGGATGCTCTCCAGGTACCGTTGTGTTTGGAACTCTTCTTTTTGATAATTCTAAAGGGTGCCAACTTTGAGTCTTACAGACTTGAAACTCTCACGAGAGGCTTTTTAAAGTGCCATATGTTTGGACCATGTCTCTTTTAGACATTTTATTCAAGATCCTTGCTTTTGGGGTCTTTTTGTTTTCTTTCAAGCTTGCTTTTCCTCAGCTTGGCAATGTTGAATTTTCCTGGTTTTCATGGAAAGATGCCAGACTTTTAATATTGTTTTTGTATTTTATTTCCCTGAATTTTTTAAGGCGAATACAACAACTGATGGCTCACAGAATGCTGCACTAAGAACACAGGATGCACCAGCAGCTCTGGCATTATTATGAGCTATTGTTTCTGCACAGTTGTTGCTTAGTATTTTGCAAAGTCCCTTTGAAATGCACTGTACAAGTTTCTTGTTCATTTCAATAGGGCTTTGTGTAGTACAGTCAATATGTATGCAAACCATTGCCAGAATTGATCCCAGAGTTATGCTTTTATAAAATGCCCCATGCAATCTCAACAGATGGGGATTTGGAGACGAATTTCCATTCTTCACCTGACTCTAATATTTGTCACAGTATGTTCTGTAAAAATTGCCGGTGCTGGATGTCCTGTTTAGATGTTGTGCAGAGGAAATAGTTTACCAGAAGGTACCAGTCATCCCTAAGAATGACATGGGTGTCACAAAATACTGCAAAGTGGCTAAATGGCCAAAACTGCTTCCACCAAAGTATTCGTTCCATTATGTCTTGTGCCAGCAGCCATGCTCGTTCTCTGAAGTACCCTGTAGCCAGGCAGTGTGTCTCAGAGATGCCTGGTGTTGTTGCCTGAAGCCCTGTTCCATTTCATGGCCTATGCTTTCCACTCGTTCTTACCAGAGGTGGGTTCAGATTTCATATTTGGAATTCCTGCTTCTTGCAAGTTGAGGAATTCTTTGCATCCCAGATTCAGACATGGCCTATCCAAAAGACAAGGGGAAATGAAAAACATTGCAGGCTAAATCCTCCTTTGTCCAGACTTGAAGTATGTTAAGACTTGGGTCCATCTGTCATTTAAAACAGCTTTTTTTCTGTTTTGTTTTTCCCTATGGAAAAAAAATAATAATATTGCAAACCAGGTATTTTTCCTTCAAGGGTTGGGTTTTTCTTTGATTGTTTTTCACATTGCAGTGAAATTTGAGCACAGAGCTGTTGGGGCAAGAGCTTGTATTGCAAGCTGTAAGATTACAAAAATGGCAGTAAAGATTGTGCAATTGTCTTCTAAAGCACAGCTCTCAAGCTGGTCATGTACCATCTGAATATGAAGTTCCCTTCATGCCCTTCAGCACAATCTGAGCACAAGGGAAGGAAATCACTACAAATGCAAGCATCAAATCTTTGAAGCTAACCCTGCTATCAAGCTGGGGCTCTCACCGGCCTAATGGGAGCTTGTTAAACCATGTGGTTAAGCTTAATTGGATGTGAGACATAGCTGACTATATATCAAAGTCATATGCCTCCAGCAACTTTATCCCCAGGTAACCTCAAATGAGAAAAGTATCGCTGTTATTACTCTTTATTTGTATTGCAGTAGAAGCTACAGGTCCACTGCCTTTATTATAGGCACGGCACAAATCCACAACAAAGACTTTCCCAGGCCAAAGAGCTTTAAATCAGACTTTCTGAAAACAGACAACAGGTGGATACAGGCAGGCAGGGAAAGCAGTAGGTAACCATGAGATTTTGACTGGCAGCAGAAGAATAATTAAAATGAGTGTTTACCCAGGGGCTTATTTTTGGATTTACGGGAGATGATTCAAACTACTTTCCCCCTCCTCTGGTTCTGAACCAGGTTCACTCCCATTATTCACAGCTTGCATATTTAACCTCCTCTTTTTTTCCTGCCCCGTTGCATTAGACACGCAAAATCCCTTTTAAGAGAGTGGGCTTTGGTATCCTTGAGTCCCCGATCGCTTAAGATTCAGTCTCCACTGGGGCTCCAAAAGCTGGCTGGAGTCTTTACTGAGGCTCACCAGGAACTGTCCTGGCTCCGGACACCTTGTTTGGGTCATGGGTGCAGGCCCTCTCTTGCCACTGAGGAAGGAAGAGGCTCCAGATGGCATCTCTGCCCTACGTAGTTTCCTCTTCTGGAGGTAGGTGACTTAGGTGAGTGACGCAGGTGCAGTGCCCAGCCCCGCAGACGTGATCAGACCCAGACATTTGTAGAGGTGGTTTGGACACCCCCTCCCTTTGGGCTCTGTCCTGACGCAGCAGCAATCTGCAAAACCCTGGGTATGGCCGTACGGGCAATTCCCCTTCTGAGAAGGTCCTTTCTCCCCCTAAAACTCAACATTTGAAAGCAGTTAAAAGCAATCCCAAGTCTCAACTAGCTCCTAATGATCCCTATGATCAGTTTTCAGCCTGATGCACTTTCAGAACTCAGAGGTAATCTCCTTCCCTCTCCAACAGGCCATCATGCAATGCTGACAGGCACTCAACTCCTCAACTTCTCTCTACTACCTATTCTGCTGAGGAAGAAGGCCACTGTAGGCAGCCACTTACCTTTCTCAGCTTGTGTAAAAATGTGTTGTTTCTTTTGGTTTATTATATTTAAAATCTTGACTTTTTTTTAGTTGGCATAATTCATCATCACTATAATCCACGCTGTTTATTAATACATATATATATAGAGAGAGCGCACAAAGCAGGCTCAGGTCTAGCCAAACAAATACTGATATTTAAAAAGGAGCTTCCTTAATATATACAAACCATTTCAACACATCTCAACCAAAGATTGCACTTTTTTTAATAGGGACTATGTTCTTCCTCTTTGTGAAATCTCTATTGATCTCAAATAGTCTTTAATGTCAATCTGCAACTTACTTTTTTTCAAGTAAAAATTAAAGAATTAAACGTTTGCCCCATAAGATCAGACAAAGTTTCATATTGGCTTTAACACTAAATTAGTGTTAGGCTAGTTATATTCAGGGTTTTTCTATTCTCTAAGGATTAAGGCTGTGATTTGTTGAATTATACTTGAACTGGACCAGATGTACTATTTATTGAGCTTATATAATCTTGTTAATTTAAGTTTTGGCTTGTAAACAGTTGGAATTTGTTAGTACTTGTTTAATTATGTAGGAACTGTCACCAGTATTAACTGATCTGTGTAACTGATTGCAAAGTGTTTCAATTTGTGTTTCTTAAAAAGAAAGATTTTAATAAAGAGAATTATAAAGCATATACATTGGTGGGCAATTGTCCCAGCAACAACATGCTTCTAGCTTCCCAGGGGATTGATTAAAAATCAAAATGAATAAAAGATAGTTTGGGGGGTAAGAAGGAAGCAGGAGGCCAGAATGTTTGCTCTTAAATATAATTTCTAGAAGTTGTGATTCTTACCAAGTAGGTCCTGCTGTACAGATTGTGAGTGATTGCCGTCGTCTGGTGCTGAAGTTGAAGTGAACACATCTTAGCAGTTCACTCTGTAATTACTATTGTCATTACCCACTCCAGTCCCTCTAGATATGTCCTCACTTCCCTTTTTTCTCTTTATTTCCGAATGAACTGGGCAAGCTGTCTGTCCCCACTGGCTTTTCTCTGTCTCCATCCGGGTTGTCTTCTCAGCCTTCTAAAAGCACCATATAAAACCATCCCCAGCCAAGCCCCTTCTCCACCTCATCTCAACCTACATCCCCCTGTTTGCCTGTTTACCCTGTTTCCCTTGTGCTCTCCCTCTGCCTTTCCTGATTTTTCTTCTTTTCAGCAGACCGTTCTCCCTGGTGCCCTCCCAGCTCCACAGGCACCTTCCCCACTCCCCGGCCTTCTCCCCAGCCCACCTCCGTTGCCAGCAACTGGAGCTCCTGGGAGGAAATACTGAACCTCAGTCAGGGTGATGTAAAGACATGCTTGTACTAAATATTTAAAGAATGCAATGAGGACAAAAGCTGAGGGGAACCTTCACCTCCAGCTTTGATGAATTCGCTCAGTGGAAAACACTAGGAGGAAAACTGAGACAAGGCAATGTCCAGTCCGTGTGCAGGGCAGGGCTTGGGGCACCATCAAAGCGCGAGCTATGCCTCCCACCACCCGCTGAGGGAGGGAAGTGGGTCTATCTGCCCCACTGAATGGCTGGGGAGATGGGTCATGGGCAAAAAGACTGGCACTCAGGTTTTCTGACTCCTCAGTTCATTAAATCAGTGCTTTAGCATCTTCTAAGTAACTGTTTGCAGCCGAGGCACACGTGTCATGTATTTTAAGCACCAATGGTTTCGGTTCT